CCCAGAAAGAGTGTAGTGTGGGAAGAAAGAGTTGCCACTGAATAGTATTCATCTTGTCTAGATGGGTATGGTTAAAAGAGATGGCGATAAGATTCTTATGATTCAACAATGAGTAATTACTATTACGACTAATTGAGACGGTCACAATTGTAAAAGTAGAAGTTTTGAAACAAAAACAGGGGAGTAGTTAATCTTACAGTCCAGAAACAAAGGACCCTAGGACCATCAAAGGAGAAGAGCTCAAGTAGAGTGTGGGATCTTATCCAGAGAAGCAGCGACATCAGAGATAGAGGCAGAGATGGGGACATGGAGAAAGGGAACAGCTGAGGACTCTAGATTCATGGGAAGAGGGGGACTAAGAGATGGCGTCCAGGAGGTAGACTTGCAGAAGGTTACCTTTGGTGGTGTAAATTATTATATATGCCTGAGTGGTTTTTTTTTAAAAAAAGAGTTAAAGTGAATAGAGAGAAATACTGTTAACTGATGGTACATGGAGGGGATCGTAATCATTGTAATGAAACATGGTGTATGATTTGTTGAATGTAAATCTGCCCTATAAACTTTCACTCAATCCACAGTAAAAACCTTAAAAAAAAAAAAAAAAAAAAAGATAGTATGGAAACAGAAGGGTGGAAGCCTGCTCCAAGTAAAGACAAAGGTGAGCTAATGAATGTGACCATGGTTATTCCTTTACTGTCCATAGGAAAAGGGTCATCTGATTCATCTGTTCCAGCATGAATAGAGGACTAGGAATGGTCCATAAGGATGAATTACACATCTTGAGAAGTATAATTTATCAATATCCATTTATTCAAGAAATGTTTACTAAGGACCTACCATGTTGTCTAGGACTCCTGGTGTGGTGCTGTAGGCTAAGCACTTACTGCGAACTCCAAGGTCTAAACCCACCAGCTGCACCTTGGTTTAAACCCACCATCTGCACCTTGGAAACTGTATCCAGGGTTACTGTGAGTTAGAACCGACTCGACAGCACTTAACAATGTGCCTGGGTAACACAAGGTGGCTGCTAATCTAAAGGCTGGTGGTTTGAACTCACCCAGTGTCTCCTGGAAAGAAAGCTGGACAGATTAGTCCAAAAATGCCCATAGAGCAGTTCTGTTTTGTAATACAAGGAGTTGCCATGACTTCTAATCAACTTAAGGGCAACAGGTTCTACCACCTACCAAGGTGGCTAAGGATACAATGCTGAGCAAAAGCATACACTGTCCCTGCCCTCAGGAGGTTACAACCGAATCCAATACTCAAATGGATAACATGCATGTTTGCTACATGTCACAGAAGAGTAGAGCAAGGAGATGGGAGAACTTGTCTTAAAAGAGATCTGACCTTGAGATGACGGCTAAAGGATGAGCAAGTATTAACGAACGGAAGAAGAGAGAGAAGAGTATTCCAGGAACGGTGTGTGCTCAAGCCTTTTGGCAGGAGGGAACATGTGAATTCATGGTGATTGGCATGGCCAGTCGTATTAGCTGGATGGTTTGGGGAGGCCAGTGGGGAACCAGTCATACCAGATGCTGTGTGCCAGAGCTGAGGACGGTCACTGAAGGATTTCAGCTATGGTGCAAAATATACATGCAGGATGTGAATTATGCAATGGCTACATCTGGTTTTGAGAAGATCACTTTGGCCACAAAATATGAGTCTGGGACATAAGAGCCGAATGGATGGTGCAAAAGAGATGTTCACAGCCTAGAAAGACAGGTGAAACGCTCCCCTCCACAGAAGATCCTGCTCCCAAATGAGAGGTAGACTCAGTACAGTGGACCCTCCCCTTCAGACAGTCACTGCAGAGAGCGAACAAACGGGAGATCTGACTGCAAATCCATATCTTTTGAGTCCTTGTGAATCAGTTCCTCCAAATGAAGTGATAAAAATGGAGTTTCTGAATTTTCAAAAGTTGAATATTCTGTCTTGGATTTAGGATGTCCACAGATCCTGAAAGGAGAATCAGCAGACAGCTCCATCTCCTATAACCAACACTTAAACAGTTCATCATCTTGCCCTCGACCCCACTTGGACTCGTGGGGATGCCATGTGTGTCACTTGTGTCAGTATAGAGCTGTTCTTGTAGGCTAATTTTTCAGAATTAGATCTCCAGGCCTTTTTTCTAAGGCACTTCTAGGTGAATTTGAATGTTTGACCTTTTGGTTATAAACAAGGGTTTTAACAATTTGTATCACCCAGGGATACCTAACTCCAGTTCAGAAGTTATCCAGTACAACCCCTCACTAAAAATACGAAACCGTAAGGACCAGAGAAGTTTAATAACTTGTCCAAGGTCACATAATAATTTGTAAGGCCTAGTTCACCGAACTTTTGATCATCCTACAACTGATTAGGTGTAAGTTGTGGATAAGTGCTGTGAGGTCAGTTTTGACTCACAGCGACCATGTATAGGGCTTCTAAGGAGCTGCTGGTGGATTTGAACCACCAACTTTGCAGTTCAAACCGACCTTGTGGTCCAGTGCTGATCCTACAGCGCCACATCAGGACTCCACTAAATGTAAAATCCTTCCAAAATGCTCTACTGGACAATATCCTCTGCATACACATGTAATGAAAAGAACCATAGAAATACAACTTTAAACTTCCAGACTTTGTTCATTAATTATGATCGCCAGTCCCTATAATAGGAGGCTAAAGAAAGGGCATTCAGCCTAAACCTAGAAACAGATTACCTGAGCCAACACTGCCTGATTTTATATAACACTTTGCATCCACGAAATCCACAAATCCTTTCAATGAACATTTCTGTAGAAGACTCAATGCTTTTGTTTCTAGATTCAATTCTCAGGCCTGATGAGAATTTGGATCTGGTTTTCAGTTTCCAAGGAAAATAAATCTCGCTTTCCTGCCCGCCCTCAAATGCCATTCTTTGGCTTAACCAACTAACACTAAAAATCCCCTAAAGGTCTCTGCCTCTTAGTGCACTCTCCTATTTCCCGTGCTTCCGCCTGGGATTTCCTACTCTGACCATTTCTTTCAGATAGTTTCCCTCTGAGCCCTTTTGTCGAGTTTCTCTGTTGTATTATTACACTGTTACCTATTTCTGCTGCTGCTTTTTCTTGTTTACTACTGCCTGTTCCCTCAGGGAGCCGCTTAAAAACCTTGGCACTCATGCTATTGTTAAAGGCTTCCATTTATATTTATAATAATTATTCAAGGGCCTTCCAACTACACCCCACAGCAACACCCCCCACCCCCCGCACATACACACACACAAACAACATCCAGAAAACCTGACTTTCCCATTTTATTGGTGAACATTAGAAGTGTTAACCAAATTCCATTGCAATCTGGTTTTCACATGGTTTTTGTTCTTCTGTCTTTCCAAGACATTACTTTGTACACTCTTGATTTTTGATGGCCAAAAATTCAGAAGTGTGACTGTGTTTGGCAGTTTTTACAAGAATCTTTTTAAACCTGCATTTTAGATTGATAAAATTTGTAGGCTTTCTGTTGCCAAATTGGCTCCCATTTGAGAAGGAAACACTGCCCGGCTCTGCACCATCCCCATGTCGCAGAATGATTGTGAGCCACAGTGTTTTCCCTGGTTGATTTACAGAAGTAGATCATCAGGCCTTTCTTCCTTGTCTTCTTCATTTAGACGCTGTTTAGCATAATAGCAACTCATGAGGTGCATTAGTGAAGAATTGAGCCCACATGGGAGGTGAGAATTCTACCACTTTTATTTTAATTAGGGAAGATTTTACTTGATGCAACTAGTGTGCCTGGCAGCTGATAACTTGATTCCAGTGGAGAAAATGTGATGTGTTAACCCATGGCAGGGTTGGGCCTGTGTGGTCATTTTCTACTATATACACTACATACATAGCAAATGACCACACACATAGTGGATTGAGACAGCATCCAATGATTTGTTCACAGTTCTGTAAGGCAGATGTCCAAGCCCGGTGTCCATGGATTCATGTGCTCTCATCTGGAGCACAGGCTCCGCCTCCAAGCTCAGACAATGTTATTTGCAGAATTCTGTTTCTTGCAGTTGTAGTACTGAGGGTCCTTATTCTCCTACTGGATGTCAGCAAAGAGGTGCTCCCAACTCCTAGGAGCCACCAGCATTTCTTGCCTTATGGCCCCTGCTTCAGTCTTTCGACCCACAGAACAGAACCTGTCTCACACTGAACCTGGCTCATACTTAGGATCTGCTTGCTCAGGAAAAGCCCAGTCCTCTCAAAGACTCACCTCATTGGATAATCTCCCTGTTTTAAGGTCACCTGATCTGGACTTCAATTACTTCTGCAAATCTCTTCCTAGCATTATCTACATTAGTGTTTGAGTAGCTGAGAGAAGGTGAATAGCCAGGGGGCTTTGCTGGTGCTTCTTACTGTCTCCTGGGTCTAGAAGGTTCTTTGAATCTGCTTAGCATGGCTTGGTGTTTCACTGTGGGTTTTATCTGGTTACAATTGGAAACTGAAGTTCCCGTAACTAGATGGTTGTGAATACCATCTGTTGATTTAGCCAGGAAATTATTCTTTGATTTAAAAATAAAAAAAGACACATTTAATGCCTTATAGTTATGGCGCTGCAGGATAACGTGCCGAACCGAAAGGTCAGTTTGAGCCCCAAGGACAATTCAAACCCACCAGTCGCTCCTCGGAAACCCTATACAGGGTCAGAACCAACTAGATGGCACTTAACAACAACAGTTAATTTAGAGGAAATCGCGATTAAAATGCAATGCTTCCTTATCCCTTCTGGACACTATATTTAGCTATCACTTTTACTCAACAGATAACTCAAACTTCAGCAGTTAAAAACAATAAACATTATCCTCCCAGTTTCCTGGGGTCAAGAATTAGGAGAGGCTTACCTGAGTGCTTGTGGTCTCTCACTGAGGTTACAGTTGAGCTGTCAGCTGCATCACCTGAGGACTTGACTTCGAGCTGGGACATCAATCCAACATGCTCACTCCTACCTCTTGAGAGGCACCATGGTTCCGCGCTGGTCTCCTCCAGAGCATGGCGTAAGATTATGGGCTTTGTTAGGCAAGTTGTTGTTGGGAACAGCCTTTGAGTCGGTTCCTACTCATAGTGACCCTGTATAGGGTTTCGGAGAAGCGACTAGTTGAGTCTGAATCACCAACCTTGCAGTTCAAACAGACCTTGCAATCCAGTGCATTATCCCACAGCGCCAAGTAACAGGTTACAAATTCAGGATCAGAAACAACTCAAGATACAGTTTTTCCTGTAAAGGTAGAAGTTTCGTAACAAAAAAGGGGGGAGTAGTTAATCTTACAGTCCAGGAACAGAGCATCCTAGGACCATCAAGGGAGAAAAGCACGAGCAGAATGTGGAACTCTATCCAGAGAAGCAGCGACACCAGAGATGGAGGCAGATAATGACATGCAAACAGGGAGCAGCTGAGGACTCTAGACTCATGGAATGAGAAAGGCTGTGTGCTGGAGGCCAGAAGGCAGGCTTATAGAATGTGCCCTTTGGTTGTTTAAATGATTG